GTGTGTGCACCTTTATGCGAGCTACGTTTCTCGATTCGTGATCAATGCGTGGCGAACTTACCGATCGAGAGCAATCTCTGCGTACTATGAGAAGCATTCAAACACGACTTTGATTATTTTGTATCGAAAATAACAGCATTAAATTCTATAGCACAAATAATTAACTTTGCCTTAATTATTGTTTTAACCCTTCAATGCGACAGGAGCAACAGCGTTATCAATCTCGTAAATTAATTTAACTTTTTGTTTGGGAAGGCGCCAATTTTTTATTTCTCAAATTTTTTAAAATTATTTTGGTACGGACTATAGCCACACACATACAAATTAAGAAAATATTTGTTTTTTTTTATTTCACACAACCATAAGAGTTTATACTATGGCCGCCATGGAAAGGATATTTCGTTAAGACGCTCTCACAAACGAACTGTAACTTTTAAAAAATACATTGTTTTTACTTTACAAAAATATAGCATACTTTACAAATATTATTTAGTAAATATATGTATTATTCAAATTGATAAGTTCAATAGTTTTTCTTTAAAAAATTCCCAAAAATTGCCTTATTATATAGCCGTCACACTAGCATAGTCCCTTAAAGGGAACCGAACAGCCTGGAATTATTGCACGTGCAAGTTGTTCATCTATAGAACGTGCGCTTGCTTCCTCTATCACATTTCCCTGTTCGACGATAAATTCTCCTTCTCGCGGACGAACGACCGTTCGATAAGGATCCTCTCGATTCCGAGGAATGCGAGAGAGAAGGCTCCGTTCTCGGTCGCATTTCTATTTACGACTTCTCGAACTAGCCGCCTCCGTCCTTCTAATCTCTCCCTCTCCATCTTTTCCCCGGCACTGGCAGGAGATTCTAATAGCGGCTCACGTTTCGCCTTGGCCGTCGTCGAATCACAAACAGAGGCGACACATCGGGAGGATCACCGACTCTCGGAGCGCGCGTGTTCACGACGTTGCGTAATTCGCCACGTGAAGAACCGTGCGAAACTTGAAAATCTTTATTGTAACGGCCGCCGTTGCGCAATCTCGCGTAACGCCCGTCTCTGGCGCGTGATCGAATTAAACCGTGACGAATGGACGATCCGTGGACGAATATTCTTGTCGCTAGTTGGAACGAGACCTGCCCCGTCACACCTGACGAATGGAATCGAAATGGTCACGTTTTCTCTGTGTTCGACTCTGAAAATTCACATTTAGAAAAAACATTTGTTCCGGCGCGGGCCCGAGTTTGGGACAATAATCGAGAGGATTCTGTATGTGTTATTCAAAGAAAATTCTGGCCAACTCTTCTCTATGCATACATAAAAAAAACCAATGGCTCAGACCATCACGATTCTAAACTTCTCGGTTGTAAATCGATTATGGGTCGAAATGTAACAACGGGAAATTTTAACCTACCGAAGTTAAGTTGTTTTTTCTAAACAATTTATACAACCGAGAGAAGAATTAAAATGGCAGATAAACGTAATATATTGTACACTTACGGTCGTCAGTGGGTCAAGTCCCTCACCCGTGACGCAGATCTGCGACAACGGGCGCCAATGTGTTAATTAATACTATTTCAGTTCGTGTTTGCAAAGTGATTTGCATGGAATAACGGATCATCTAAAGTAACACTAACTATCAAATGATAATTCTAACGTTCGAAGTTCGAGAATGGACAAACACGCGGGATAAGAGTGTCGACGTTTCCTATGCAGGCATCGAAGTCTCCCGGGTGAGTCTCTGGCCGCACGCGCGCGCACGCAGGCACAGATACAAGGCAGAGATGGGCAAATTCATTGTCTAGATAAAGAATTTGAAATAACGAATAAGAGATTAAACATGGACGTTCCAATTTTTGGTAATAAAATAGTAAGCGTTGTATATCGAGCCTCGATATTCCCTAATAAATATTTAGATCAGACTTTCAATAATATGAGTTTAATTTTATTTTTTTCATTTTGTAATACCTTGGTAATATTTACTGCATATTCGATGAGTATTCAAATAACTTATGAACGGAACTTATGTGTATATGCTGGCAGAAAAACTGCACAACGCACTGCATAAGCGACGCGATCGCTTTTATAGTAGCAAACGGTCGCGGACACGTCAGCAGTTCGCGCGCGGCTCCTGCAGATTATCATTGGGATAAATTGTTGAATCTCATCTAACGGTAAAACGCAATGAATCTACAAAGTACGTCGACTTGCGCCGGTATTAATATTCAATGGTTTTTCTTCCACTTCCACGGTTGGTAACGGTGCCCGGAAAGGACGCTTCGAACAAAACAAAATTATAATTCTTCTCCCTTCCTGTCCGCGACAATTTATACTTCACTTTGAAATTCTAATTTAATATACGGAAGTAACAAACTGATAAAAAGAATAGCTCCAATTATTACGTGAAGACCATCGAAACCAGTTATCATGAAAAAAATTGATCCATAGATTCCATCGTTAAATATGAAATAGGCTTCAGTGTATTCCATGTACTGAAATTTACTGAAAAGTATATTTCTAATTAGATTATTTAATTCCAATTATTATTGCTATTAGTAACAGATTTAAAGATTTATTTAATAAAAAGTGATGACTTCGTGTAATTGCGGTCTTATAATACCAATTTCAATATTAGGCGTAATTCATCCGTGAAAATAGGTACATAAGAATAAAAAAAATTTGTAGCTGGATAACTTTGCCGCGTTAGAGCATTTTAGATTGCTCCGCAAAATAAACGTTTTCGACGAAGATACAGCCTCGAAATTTACGACCGGTGGATCACGATGGTCGACAATAAAACGGCGAAACAATTTCACCCGTGGTCACCATTTAATCGCGTAATAATCGAGAAAGAGACAGAAGGAATCTCGATAGTATTCGCGGGACAATTTCGGTTCCTTTGACGATCCTTGGTTCTTACCAGTTTCCGTACGAAAACGAACGATACACTTTTCGGGAGTTTTAATTGACCGCGACGTCGAGTTAATGAGGCGATATACCTGCGAAAAGTAAATTTGCACCTGCGTCGCGCGCGATAATCAATCGCGCCGGGGCCATCGACTTCGTGTCTCCTCGATGAGAGAGAGAGAGAAAAAAAAGCGGACAGATCGTTTGCACACAACCAGAGGAGAGGAAAAAAGGAAAGAAGGGGAGAAGACGAAAAAGAGGAACCGGTTCCTCCAGAGACCATTTTTCTAAACCAGTTTAGGACCAACAACTTCGGGGGCCAGGTCTACTCACTATACCGTTGTAAAAGACTCGCGCCCGTCAGCCTATCATTCTGTGCTACGCGATGGAATAGGCGCCCCAGGCTGAAAACCCAATTAACGTGTCTCGTCCGACCGAAATTACATAACTGGAAATCGGTCTCTCGCTTCTGAAAGCCTCTACGAAAAATTGCCGATCCTAACCGTAACTCTCCAATCTCATTTTTCGAACGATATATTGGTAAAATAAAAATAATAAAGAGTCGATTGTTCGACGTTCATCCTGGGACACCACACCGGTGCGAGTACGCACCAGCCGGAACGTTGTTTAGTAACATTCTATCAGGGTAGCGTAATGGTTTAGAATTTTCATAGTTAAAATATTATTTCTCACTTTCGCAATTATTACTGTTGAATTTCTTGAGGAAAGACCCTGAAAAATATGTTACGAGGTCCAGGTTGCTTTTATTCTGTACAATTTGTTGATTCATCGAAGATTGAAAATCCCAATTCACGAGGGTTAATTCGCTTTGCTTCTCGAATATTATACACGGACAAATTAACCGATAATTCGTTCCTCCAGGCAGTAGCTTTCTGTTAAATGGGAAGCACGCCGTGAATCGTTCACGGTTAAAAAATTGTTTACATACAGACCGTGTACGCACAATACCGTTGTTCGCAGATCGTTGTCGCGTAAGGATGACCGTTGCCCGACAACAAGTGCCGTGACATCAGTGCAACGATTGTGCAATCGATGTTACCACAGGGTTCCCCCGTTTTTTTTTTTTTTGCAGTTCCACCATCGTGTAATAACCGATATCGTTTAAAAACTAGACAAATCATCCCGTAATTGCATCGCATGATCACCTACCAGAAATAATTTGTTGGTTGAAAGAAGAAAAATAAATGGAAGCTCTCGAGCGCCTAATGCGAATGACGGTGGAACGGACAGGACGTCGAAGTCACGCGATTCGTAATTAGGGAATGAAATTCGCGAACACGGGGCGGGTAAATTGCAACGGCACCTGTGCCAGTCCTCTGCACCTGCGCGGTGGATACAGGCCCCGAAATATTCGCGCGCACTCTTTCCCCCCAGGGACCGTCAAGTGACCTGAGTTCGAGGGAAACCGAGAATTTTAATGAGCCCTCGAAAACCGGCTTCGCAATCTTCCCGGCTTATCGATCCTTATCCCGATCGGGGCAGGAAAAAAAATCGTTATAATTTTTCATAACGCTGCCCTTTGGAATTTGCGCCTGGTGGCTCCTCGAATGTACCTCGCATTAATCTTTCGGAATATTTCGAATATCTCGACTTGAGTCAAGTTAGCGACAGGCCTAAATCTCTTGTGGGCCTTATGGATCCTGTTCGTAAAATTTTAATATTCTACCAGTTAGTACGAATATTAGAATGCTCTTACAGGTAATAAAGTCACGGGTAAAACTGACTACTTTGGAATTACAATGCTTTCCTGTGGTTTTGGCAGATACTTCAGGGTCCACATGAATCTTGCAGTTACTCTCAAGTTCTATCGTTATAGACTTTGTTACTCTAAAAGACTTTGTAATCTTTCATCGGTGCAATATGAATATTAAAATGTTCTGATAGCTAATTATGTTAACTGACTATTCTGGAAACACGAAACTTTCCTATGGTTCTGACAGGCACTTCAGGGTCATCCATTGAAAACTATTTCACAGGATCGCTGCTATATTACAAGTGACAGATGAGCCTAATGCTAGAAGGACTTTCAAAGATGGAAATGACTGAATCAGAGCGAATATGGAACGATGGACTTACATTGGTGCTTATTGACGATAAGACTGAGGGGCTCGGAGCTGCCTAGCGGGCTCTCCTTGCCGCTGCATGGCGGCGGGCTCTTCCCAAGGTGTTGCGCCTCCAGCAGCCTGAGCTGCTGCTGGTGCAGCCGGTTCTTGATCAGGAAGATTTTCGGCATCCTGACGTGGCGTTTGCGCGGCTAACAACGTGGTCACACTTCACCCCCTACAGTTTCACGCCACCATTCCCACGGCCGGCGAATGCCGCGTTCCCCAGAACCATTAACCGCGCACCTAACAACCACTTCAAAGATTAGTCCTCCCAATGTGTATACCGTCCTGGTGTTTCGTTTCAATCGCAACGTATTTTATATATCCACTGTGTCTTGTCCGGATGCGAAACGAAAACGCGAGATCACCACTCGAACGAACGATCGAGAAATCCAATGTGTCGATGATTCCAGTACCGGTCAAGTCCCTTGCATTCCCGGGGGTTAAATCCACCGCGCGGGATCCAATCGTAACACCGTTGTCCGTTCTCTATCTCTTAGCAGATCACTGTTTATAGTCACTGTCAACACAACACCAACAACGAAGCACCCGGTGTATGTGTGTGTGCTCGTGAAGCGCAGAGAGGATCGATAAGAGCCTCTGTCCTCTCTAAGCCAGTCCAAGGTCTCTCTTTCTCCCCTATAGTGTGTCCCTCTCTCTATCTCACGGATTTACAGTTATCCTGAACGATCGACGGAGGCCGTGGATCGCGAGTAAACGCACACGGAACGACCGACCTCTGGTGAACGACTGAGGCTCCGTTGGTTCCTCGCCAGCCGGGGCCCCGAGTCCCCGGTATTACCCCCACCAATCGTGTCTGCCTGCCTCCCCTCCCCTCCCCACCCTTCGTACTCGGCCCAGAGGCTCACTGGCCCGCCTTCTCCCACCGTGCTACCCAGAGCCTCGCGCTACACCCCATCCTGATTATTTGGTCGCTTTAACAGCCCGCCGGTGGGACCGACGCGGCGACGCTGGACGGTTCGGGAGATGGTAAACCGCGCTCGCTGGACTGCGCATGCGCCTAACGGAGCATCGTACGTGTGCTGAAGCGTGCGAGTCTCTCTGTCTCTTCTTTCTCCTCCCTTCCTCATCCACACCCCCACCACTCACACGGTTGTGTTCACCGGTTCCCTCCCCTCTACTGCCTACCCCTCCCCCCTCTTCTAGATTCTCTACGTCTCCGTCGCGTCTCTTTTTAACGGAGACGAGCGTCTTATCCCGATCGCCGTTGTCTCCTTCCTTCTACTCTTTTCCCCCCGTTCTCTTTCTCACCCCCCCCCCCCCTGGTTGCACATTGTCTTTACCGGTAGCCGGTTTATTCGTCGTCCGGGATGCGGGTTCATGTTTTTCCTGCGCGCTTTTCTTATCTGGTGTGTTTCTTTTCTTCTTCCTTTTTTTATTTCTTTCTTTTCCACCGTGTACCCCGTCGGTGGCGACGTTTATTCGCACAGACGCCGGGTGGGGGGACTCGAACTTGGCCCATTTTCTGGGAAAGGACGCCGATAAGCGATTGGAGGGGCAATGAGCTAAGACTGTTACTTTATTCAATCGGGCGGCTAGAAATAGATGGTTGAAACGTGTTAAGGTGAACGCGATTGCGTATCGTGGGTCATGCAACCAGGAGTTTGATTAACTGGACAACATTGTTCCGTCTGGTTCACTGGTGTGAGTTGTGGTCTCTTTGAATAGAATTATCGAGATTTATCGAATATATTCTGCAAGGATATGATTCACTGCTTGACGTCAATTTCAGGGGGAACTTGGAGTACAGGTGTCTTAGCCTGCAGCGGACGGGAAGCCTATTTTGAGGTTTCAGAGCAGTTGATTATTTTTCGTGGTTTAAATGAAAAATATATGAAAGCTGTTAATAGGAAAAAAAAAATATATATATAATGGAAAAACTTGCTTAACTTCCACAAGTTAATCACTAGATAGTGATCACTATTGCAATTCAACTGTCTTACCAGCATTTAAAGTACAGTAAAGGACTCCCTTTGTCCGAACAAATTTCTGCAAAGTACATACACTGCATTAGCAACCATGTTGCCCATTGTTTACTATTCGAACCCGTGCCTCTCGGTGTGCCATTTACATGAATTCGTATCGGAAACTATGTCAGGATCAACGACCAACACAGGATTTCGTTTCAGGTAATCGGTTTGCAATACAGTAAATTCTCCACGAGTGCTCGAAGGCTCCTCAGCATCGACAAGAATAGGTCCCCAGTTGTATTCCTCACTTTTTAACCAGCTTTAGCACAGTGGCAGAGGTTGAAAATCTGAAGCCAATAATAATTATTTCAGCCGCATACGGCCATTAGTTTATGAAATATTTAATGTTCAGTGCCGAGGATCCTTCGAACATTCTTACTACAGTACTCAACTCGAATGAAAATCTCTTGTAACCACAGAACAGAACTTTTCAACACACACCGCCCTCCATTTGTCTTGGGACACAAGCATCCCAAGCAATACTTATCGAGAATTTACTGTATCTCATTCTTTTTGCTCCAAAGATCTATCTATTCGATTTTCTTGATTCGCATTTAACAGGAATATTGCTCAAGGATTTACCTTGGGATACCTTCGGGCAACACTTCTGCCTCTGTAAATCGACGGAGGCATGCGCAACGAGGAGAATCCTGAAACGGGTCGGACCCCGTGTCTGTGCCACCTGTATGATCCTCCGCGACTTGCACGCGCTGGACTATCCGGTAAAACATACGTATGCACGTACAGGTACGTGTCCACGTACTGGTTTATGATGGACGCTCGGGGCTCACGGTTAAGGCTAGGTTTCTCGGTCTCTAACCACTATGTCGGTTATGCTGTCAAGCGGTATACACGTAGCGGCGCGCAAGCCAGAACCGTGGTCTGTTACGACGCCGGCCACGTAACAACCGTGTTTCTACAGGGTGTTCAAGAATCAACTCTGATGAATCTCGTGTGGTCTTTGCTACGTCTAGCTCGAAACGATTAATATTTTTTGTGAATGAGCAAATACGAAACGAACCTGGATAATTGTAACGACTGTGCGTAATAATAAAGACTTGAGGATAACATTTTTTTTTTAGGAGCTATTTTGATCATTACAAAAGCAAGGTTTATGTCTTGAAGACTTTAAATTTGTCTTTTGAGAGCTCTGATCTTTTACAAAATTAGAAAAGTTGCAAAACAGAACTGATATGCAACTGAGACGACTGTACGCAACCCAGAGATGGGAAAATTTATTGTTTAGATTAAGGGTTTCAAATAACGAATGGAAGATTAAAAAAGTACTTCGTTATTTTCAATGGATCGATCGTGGAAATTTCAATTTTTATAATACAATATTTCTTTCTTTAGGCACTTGGTAAACAATTATTTAGTCTCGTTAACTACGTAAAGGTCATTGGATCAGGATACTACTGCTTTCCACTACGTGTTATTCGAATAAACTTCGTACCCGACTCTAACACAAGGGAGAACCAAATTATTTTTAATTGTCCCAAGGGATCTCCTTTTCTACCTTGAACCAATGTTAATTTCTTAGACTAGTACCATTTCCTCCGGCCACAGCTTTAATCCTGGATTAGTATAAGACTACACATACTAAATCGACATTTTTCACGGTAATAGGGAAACAAGACCGTTTTCAGTCGACTCGATCCCAGCTTAGAATAATTTGAATACGTAATGTTAATTTACAAAACAGAAGAAAAAAAAAACAGGTTACTTAAAAGCGACAGGTAATTTTTCCAGAGTAACTGTGTACGTTTGTCGTCGGAGAGGATTAAGCACATCGAATTACCGTCTATGCCGGTGGCACAACAGGTTAACGATTATGGCTACAGGATTTCGTGGACGACGCTTATACGGACTCTAACGAGTTCTTTTCCTGTTGGATGCGGTCACGGGCCCCGGGGACGTCGCAACAGAGATGTTTCGACGGAGATTCCGTACCCGAGTCGAGGGTTTGAAATTCAGACGACGACGCCGTAATGTGACAATCCCGAGGCGGCGACGTGACTTCTAATTTAATGGGAACAGGACTAATGCCAGGACGCGTTCCAGAGAGCCAGTCGTCTGAATATTCGAGGCCTGTTTAAATGTTTCGGTTTCTGTTTAGTTCGGTAAGGGACCCCAGGTAAAAGAAAAAAATACAAATAATTATTATATGAACTACTCATTGAGAGGGTGCAGCATAAATTGGTCTGGTCTCTTGGTGGATACTGGCAGATATGTGTACGTTTAGTTTTTCTTTCATTCAAGCATGATTCCAAAGATACAATGAATATTATTGTGAATAAACCCTTGCTCGGAAATTCCATAAAAAAATAAATAACCTACCACTTGATTGTCATTAATATTCATAAATATATTTTAAATAGATGCAGCTGAAAAAGGGACTTAATAATTTGTCCCTGAAGTGGCTAAAAATGGTAACCAGTTGATACGTAGATTACGTAGACTACGTTTATATTTAATTATTTTCCTCCTGAGTATCTCTAGAAAACGATAAACGTTAATATTTAAGAACTGAAGGAAGTCTTGTTACGGAGTCCAGTTGCTCACCAATTGGTGCCAGTTAATCACCAATGATCCCCGATTCTATTCAAGAAAAGAAGGTACCATTGAACATTGCTTGTAGAACAAAAAAAATAGTGAATTTTAAAGGATACGCGAAACCGTAACGAGAGAAATCTCCTCGATCTCCGCAGGGGAAACGTCTCCGAGGCGACAGAATTTTTCGTGGAACCTCCAGGATCCTTGGACTCGAAAGGCACTTGTTCGAATTTGGGCCAAGAAGACACGGACGGTGAATTATGTCCCCCGGCCGCAGCACGAATTCAGCAGGTATTCCCTCGAATCTCGCTGGATCTCGTATGGGAAACCGAACGTTTCGAGAAAAACCTAGCTAGACCCGAACGTTTACGACCTTCTTCACGGGGGACACGAGATGGAATCTCGGAGGACGAGAGAGGCTGCGAAACATCCGAAGATTTTCCCTGCGATTGTACCAGCTTCGACAAGAAAATCTCTCGAACGCTAACAATTTGGCAAAACGTGATTTGCTTTCTCGAAGAAAGAAATTTTTATATCTGTTTTAAAGGGGTCATGCTCAGTCAGGAGGCCGAAAAAAGAGTGTT